AGGTAGAAGGATGGAGGTGTCAAGCAGGCGGTTGTAACTGGGGTCTCAGGAAGAGTGAGATAGGAAGGTTAACCAGGTTCATTTTGGGATTATCATCAGAGGGGTGAGAACTGAATCTGTGGGAATGAAGGCAGCTGCTCAGCGAGAATCTACACGGTGGGTGTCAGGGGGCGAGGCGGATAGAGGCAGAATCAGCCGGAAGTGGCAGTGTCAGAAGCCCGGGGCAAGAGGCCAGTGGGTGGTGTGGAAATAGAGCTGGTAGGGATGAGCCGCTCTTCTTAAGGTAGGAAATGTGGGACCTAGAGGAAGGAGGAGGGTGGAGGGGAGGTCTTTGTTTTCTCTGATGGACCGGAGTCAAGTGCATGGGGTCGTCCTGCCACCTGAGCCTTATATGAAACTCCCTGTCCACAGGAATTACTGTTTCCCAGCATGTCCATTGGTACAGCTTGTTACCCAGATCATATTGGTTTGCTGTGTGCTCTTGCTCTTGACCATCTGGACCACTGGTCCTTCCCCAGACTTGGCTAATCCTTTAGTCTCAGTTATACCCCCAGCGTATCGCCATGCAGGTGTTGGCTCTCCCCTTGTCCATGCTGTGGGCTCTCAAAGAACTGTGCACCTGAACCTATGCATTTACAGTGTAGGCGGCGGGTGGGGGGAGGCAACTGCCAAGGGACTTCAAGATGCAGCCGACAGAGGGGTAGTTGATGGCACAGGATCTCCGAGAAGCAAGCAGGAATGAGCTCTGTTGTATGGGACTGACTCACTCAAGAAACATGTCTTCCCCAGAGATAAAATTAAAAAGAGCTAATAACACTATGAAAAAAAAATCCCTAAAATATGTCAGGCAGGCTCTTCACTAAGGGTTTTGCTTACGTTACTGTACTTACTACTCAATACCAGCCCCACACAGAGGCCCTAAGACCATCCCCGTTTGCAGATGCAAAAACTGAGACTGGAGCAGGTCACACAGGTGACGAGTGGCAGACCTGGGGCTGTAATTATGGCCTGACTCCAAGTTCATGCCCTTGTGGTCTGTCCTCAGGAAGTGTGGTCAGTGAGGACAACGAGTCTGAATTGTGGGGAGCAGAAGTGGAGGAGCTCACGGTCATAAAGGAGAGGAAGTGAGGTCATCTCTAGAGATGGGACTTGGGGGGTTTAGTCATCTTCACAGAATTTAACGGGAGTAGAACAGGGCTGGAATGGCCACTGTGGGATAGTCAAGGGAGTCGACAGCGCGACTAAAAGGAATTCTGGACAGCAGCAGGGGCCCAGCTGGGGCTGCATAATGTGCAGTTTGTAGTGGAACCAATGAAGGCATTTTTATGAGTTTTTCCAGCAACCTTTCACCGCCTGCATACATAGGACCACAGAAGAGATGTTTTTGCTCACTCCTTAGGACTCAACACTTGATTACAAGCCCGGAAGAGCAACATCATGTGCCGATGCACTGAACCATCTGCAGAGAAGGACTAATGGGATCCCGTGGGGCCAGGGATGGGCCAGGTGGGAACAATGGAGGCTTGGGATGGGCGAGTAGCGTGTTCTCTGCTGGAGGGACTGACCACAAGGAGGCCTGTAAAAACAGAGCGGGGCTGGGAGGCTGAAGTGAAAAAGCAGCTGCTTGCAAAAATACATACACTGATGTTCACACATTAGAGCAGCCTAGGAAACGACCGCTTCCCTACTCACTCAGAGTGAGTCATCGTTTGTGTCGGGCAAGAAGAAGGGAATGCTGATTTCATTGTGTTTACTACCAGACAACACGGGGGGCTGGACAGGATGGTAAAACATGGGTCCTGGTAAAAGGCTGGTGTTTGCTAGCGAGGTTGTATTACAACCACGCTCTGCTTTCCAAAACACCACCCTCAGGAGACAAGAAATAAAGTCATTTTTCTTCAGAGGCAGAAGATTTAACATTGCTTAACAGTAATACTTAACATCCTTAGCCCTTAGCCTTAGGCAACATCCTAACTACCAAGTGCTAGGAATTGTCTTTTTCCCCCCGGGCTGGCTAGGGCTCTGGCTTTACTGCGGGAAGTGACTTTTAGCCTGGCAGCAGTTTGCATGAGCCCACTTTAAAGATGGCTGAATTCCACGAAAGCAGAGCAGGGGACTCTTGACCAGGGCTACTAGCTCACTCCCTGCCTGGGGAAGTGGGGCGCGGGAGGGGTGTGTGTACATCTTCTGTGTGTCAGTGGTTCCAAATTTGGCATATAAATCAGCATTACTGAGATAACTTAAAAACTCATGCGATGCTCTCCACAAACCTCATGGGAACCAAATCAGGTAGGAGCACATTTAGTCCACTATAAGGTTGGCTACCAACTTCCCATAGATAGAATTATTCCTATTTTTTTTAAAGATTTATTTTATTTATTTGAGAGAGAGAGAGAGAGAGCACAAGCAAGGGAAAGGGCAGAGGGAGAGGGAGGGAAGCAGGCTCCCCGCTGAGCATGGAGCCGGGGTGCAGGGCTCCATCCCACGACCCTGAGATCATGACCTGAGCCAAAATCAAGAGCCGACACATAACCGACTGAGCCACCCAGGCGCCCCTGAATTATTCCTATTTCTAATTAAAAATTTAACTCCATAAATATCGTAAAGTTCTCTGCCTCTGTGACAAAGAGGGGATGCGGGGCCTACAGAGATGCGCTTCCCTCCCTCTTCTGGCAGAGGGAGAGAGCAGTGGAGTTGCTGTGATTCAGTCTACTGAACAGTAAAATCTCCAGGGTGGGAGAGACTAGAAAGCCAGGGTAAATGTCGCTGGCACACAGAGCTGGATCAGCAGTGGGTCCCCTGCCTCTGCATTCTGCATCTTGTTGGGTAAATATGGAGCCCCTCATGGACTGGAGGCACATCGGTGAGGATGCTCTGCATCTCCCCTTGAGATGCTGAGATGGAAAATTGAGCTGGAACTCCTCCATTTGAAAACTAGTACCAGGGACCTCTCATGCATTTGTCTGAGCTCCATTTACTGTCCATCATGGTGACTTCTGGTTGCCAGGTAGCCACAAAGGTCTGTTTGCTCATGCAGCTAATCACGCCTACCACCACGCGCGTGTGTGAGTGCACTGTTGGTCAAAATTGTTTTTGGTCTGAGATGCTTCCCTTCCAGCTACAGTTATATTCTCGGGGCTGGCAGGATTTTGTCAATTCATGCATTGTGATGATAACTCAGAGCCACAAACAGCATAAATGTATTGCCTTTGTCAGAAAACTCCCTCTGCAATGTTTAATCCTAAAATAAACTTGTTGAGAGTCAGCTATGATTGAGCATTTCAGGGCTTATTAGTAAAAAATAAATAGGAGTTGGAAATTCAGAGGACTTTCTGCTAATAATTACTAAACTAAGCATTTGTTGCATTGTCATAAAAAGTTGATTTCCTGCCTCCTGTCTGAGAGAGTAGGGTCCTGAGGATGGACTGGTACCATGTCTCTGGTTTCCAGATTCTCAGGGCTTGATACAGAGTAGATGATTAATAGATATATGGGAAATGAATGAGTGAAATTTATAGAGTTTTCAATGTTATTTCTGTGCTTTTGATTTGTACCCCCCCCCCAAAAAAATCCATTTCTGCAGTCTGGTGCAAGTTGGCCAGGAAGACGTTAAACTGTTTCCAGTTTTTTCTTTTTTTCTTCCCTCTCATAAGAACATACTACTTTCCATCTGCCTTAACCACAATTTCCATACACTTCAACGTTGAGAGCCAGAAATGTTATATTTAAAGCAAATTTTGGAGATGACTTCCATTTTTTTAAATGAAAACAAAATACTAGGCCAGAGAAAAATGAAGAGAGGAAAGAAATCAAGAATGAGAAAAGACTATGAGACAACGTACAAAAAAAGAAAACAGGGAGAGAAATAATATACAGTTGTATAGAGGCTTTTAAAATATTGTTAGAGTATCCCACCCAATCAGTGTTAACAATTGGTTCTCCACTAGATTTGAGATTTTATTACTTTTGAAAATCAACATACTATTTGTAAGAGCAGATGGCCACTTAGGCTATGCCTGTTGCAAGATCCAGGATGGTATTTTTGTAAATTCACACACAGAATTATAGCCAATGTGAAACTCAACACAGTAACTCCCTCTGGGATAACACTTCAACAATTCCACTTTGATGAAAAAGCTCTATTTAAGATCCTCACCCCTCTTTTTAAAAGGAGATATTCTGTAACATTTCAGTTTTCTGGCTGGTAATTAACCTTTCTTTGTTTGTTTGCCCCCCCCCCCCAACTCACGATTTCTCACACCCCTGCTTCACTCCCATAGTAGCTGCACTAGACATAATCTTGGAAAGTTTTCCTCTTTGTCATGGGCTACTGATAGCAGACCCAAATTATTCTTCATCTCAGAGATAAGTGCACAGGCCTTTGAGAATTGTATCTCATTTTCAGGGGTGTCTAGTTACAGTGTAAGTGGATCGTGTTGGGCCAGAATCACCAAGCGAACTTTTCCCACGCGATTATTTCCTTCCCCCACTGTGTCTGCACCTCTCAGCAATATTTGCTGACTGCCTAGCCAACCCGGTCACATTCTAAATCAAGCAAAGAACATCTTCCCAGGTTCACATTTCTCTCCAGCTTTTTAACACCCACATGAAGCTCCAAGGTTAAGGCTGGCTCACCCTTCCTTGGAGGTAACTGCTAGGACAGAGGATTTACTATTTTATTGTCCTTCAGCTTGGTGCAGGAGGTTCAATACTATTTTTATAGCAATGGCTTAGGATTTCGATTCTGTATCCAATATTCTTGCTGACATGTTCAATTGCAATGATATACTATTTTCTTCCCTTAAAAAATAACCCACAACTGTTCCAATTATTAGCACAGTTGTGAAGATGGCACGAGGGTTGTCACAGACGGCAGTGGGGAAAATTATAACATATTCCCCATTTCAAAGCCAGATTTCTATTTCATGTAGATTTCTCTAAAGACATTTGTAGGTAAGCTGGTAGGTAAGCTGGTGATAGGGGACCCCTGAGTGATCTACCTGGGTAAGGATGCATACTGTCTCTCCATCCCCTCAAAGCGGACGTTGTGTGCGTTCCCATCTGGACCCTTTCCAGACACCTGTGGAGAGAAAAGTAATTAGAGATGAAGATCCATTATACACCCTGGTTACTGACAATGCATTGCAAAGTTATAATCAGCTGCTACTGCCTGCCAAAAATCAACCATGGAAAAGCAAGCAAGATCTCACTATTGCTATAGGAACTGATGATCAAGCCACAAACATGGCATTTCACAACAAAGTCACTTCTTTCAAAAAGGGTCATTGTCAAGCTGACCCCTTCCTGTCACCAAGCCAGGGAGATTCTATAGGCTGTAAGACCATTTTTTTTTTCCTTTTACATATGCTTTAGTTTTTAGAACAGTTTGAGACTTACAGAAAAACTGAGAAATAGTACAGAGTTCCTGGAACTCAATTTCCCTATTCCTAACATCTCACGTAAGTGTGGTACATTTCTTACAATTAATGAATCAATATTGATACATTATTTTTAACTAGAGCCTACAGTTGATTTGGATTTTTACCCAACTCCTTTCCTGTTCCAGAATCCCCTATTACATTTAGTCATCATGTCTCTTTAGGGTCCTTTTGGCTGTGACAAGGACAGTGTTGTTTTTTTTTTCCTAATATTTTATTTATTTGTTTGAGAGAGAGGGAGAGAGAGAACACAAATAGGAGAGCAACACAAAAGGGAGAAGCAGACTCTCTGAGCAGGGAGTCTGACACAGGGCTCCATCCCAGGATGCTGGGATCAAAACCTGAGCCAAAGGCAGACACCCAACTGACTAAGCCACCCAGGTGTCCCAGGACCATATTTTTTAAAAAGTACCTTTTCCATGAAAACTTCCTTTACTAACAGACAAACAACTGTTTACTCCGCAGTTTCCATGAAGCCCTCCCTCACCCAAAACTTGCTTAGTTCTGTCCCTTAGGAACTACCACAGAGAAGTGATTGCCTCTTTTCTAACTAGGGTTGATCTTTAGTATTTTTTTCCCTTCCTTTGTACTTCCTGTGTTCACCTCTCTTCCGGTCTCCTCCATCAGCCTCTGAGACTCTGAAGAGCAGTGCCTGGCCCCAGTATGTTCTCAATAAAGCATGCTAGTTCTGTGAATGTAAAGACTTTATACATAGTCCTTCTGCATCTATCATAGCAATCAAAAACAGGATGAACGCATCCAGGTATTTAAAAGTACTTGTTGACTTGTCAATTCATCACCTGTTCGTGTCAACACGTGTGGTTTTGTGGATCGCTTATGTGCTGGCTCTTATGCTGGGCTAGCCCTCACGGAATGGGCATGGAAAGGGTAAACGGAACACCTGGACCATTATAAGAGAGAAGGGAAAGTTTGCTAGTTAAGCACAGGAAGAACCGGTGTCAAGTCAGTAGGGGAAATTTTTCTAGGTAGTATTCAACTTGCAAGTTATTTTCTTCCTGCCAAAGGTTCTAGCACTCTATGAAACCACCATCCCAGCTTGGGTGGTGTGTGTAGGGAGGGTTTATTGTGAGAGGTGTTACAAAACAAGTATACACACCCATTTAGAGTAAGAAAGACTATTTCCAGTATCAAATTATTAGAGGAGGCTCTTCAGAGTGTGTCCTGCAAAACCTCTTTATATTTCACCAATACATGGAACAGGAATGACCGGAAGTATTTGAGAGGGCAAGAGTCCAGTGAATTACTGAGGTAAGGATGAAGATTGCACATACAAACTTAGAAGCAACTGCAGGGAGACTGAGAATTCTCTGTATTAGGATAAAAGCCCTGATTTAAACCACTGACCTTTCTAACAAAGATCAGAGACAAGGATGGTATCAGACAAACAGGATAAAGAAATGTCACAGAAGAAGAAGGGAAGGATAGAGCTCCTGTCCTCAACCACTTCTATCTAAGCTTTGTTTCATTTTTAACCTATTGGTTATGGAGGAAGAATTAGCATGAATACCAAGACTGTGCTGACGATCACTTCATTGTGATTGTTGGGCATTATGCGTATGTATCCCTAGTATGGCTCTAGACAATTTACAAGTAATCTTTTCCTGGTGGCCACAAAACTCCAAGTTAATACTTCCAGCACTGTTAGGTAGAACTGGCCTGGCCCCATGGTGGCCGTCCACATTCTGGTGTCTCTAGGAGGCAGCACCCAGGTGCCTCTTCTTTCTGGTGAGCTACCAGCATAGGAGATTGTATGAAGTGTAGGATGATCCCTATCTTAGGGAAGTTTTAGTGCTGTTGGGAAAACAAGCATCAGAAATGAAATAATTAAAGAATGATGTAGGACAACGTATGATCCCATGCCATTCAGGATGTTACTAACAGTAGTACAGGTGACACTGGGAGGTGTCGGGAAAAACTTCATGGAAGTAGCAGAACATAGACCAAAGATGGGTGGCATGCTTCTATATCAAAACTTATTCTCTTCTTCACAAACTGTGTAGATATTTAATTATTATATTTATATTGTGCATATATCATGCTTCTCTATTAACATGACATCTTTAATGCAAACATGGACTTAGTGATTACTGAGCATCTACTGTATCCCAATGCCATGCTAGGCATATATTTAAAGGAATGAACAAGGGCTGGATTTCTTCATCGCGTTGAATATAGAGGAGACAGGCCTGCAAACAATTACGGTACAATGAGATCACTGCTAGAGTGTCAGCATGAGAGAGGAGGCAGTAGGAGTCTGAAGAAACAGATACCAAAGTCCACCTGGCAGAGTTGAAGACAGCTTCATATGGGTGTTGAAGCTTCATCGAAAACTTGAATATGAATGAGGAGAAGTTTTTGGGGGGAGAAGGTGTAGGAGTAGCAGGAGAAGGCATTCTAAGTAGAAAGAACAAAAATGAAACAATATGGAGGCATTTAAAAAAAGAAAAGCACTGTGTTTTCAGGGAAAGTCAAGATTTTGGTAAAGGAAGAAACAGAGCCTATTAAGGAAAAGGATACTAATAATAACACCACCACCACTACTATTATGGCTATAGCCATTATTGCCACTATGGCAACTTTTTTCTTAATGGGCTTTGATTTTTTAGAGCACTTCTAGGTTCACAGAAAAACAGAGGAAGGTACAGAGAGTTCCTATCCCACTGCCCCACACACTCCGCCATTATCACCAACTCCCAACATGTGCTATATTTGTTACAGCTGATGAACTTACACTAACACATCATCACTCAAAGTCCAGAGTTTACATTAGGACTCACTATTGGGGATGTACATTCTATTGGGTTTGAACAAATGTATGACATGTATCCATCATTATAGTATCATTTTCATTGCCCTAAAAATTCCTTATGCTCTGCCTACTCATTCCTCCCTCTCTCCAAACCCATGGCAACCACTGGTCTTTTTACTGTTTCCATAGTTTTGCCTTTTCCAGAATGTCATGTAGTTGGAATCTTACAGTCTGTAGCCTTTTTTTATACTGTCTTCTTTCACTTAGTAGTATGTATTTAAGTACCATCCATGTCTTTTCAAGCTTGACAACTCATTTCTTTTTAGTGGTGAATAATATTGCATTGTCCAGATATACCACTTTATCAATTCATCTACTGAAGGACATCTTGGTGGCTTCCAAATTTTAGCAATAATAAAGCTACTATAAACATTGTGTGCAGATTTTTGTGTGAAGATAAGTTTTCAATGAATGCCCTTATGTAAATACAAAATAGTACAGGTGCTGGGTTGTATGGTCAGAGTATGAAACTGCTGAACTATCTTCCAAAGTGGTGGTACCATTTTGCATTCCCTCTAGTGATGAATGAGAGTTCGTGTTGCTCCACATCCTCACCAGCATTTGGGGTTGTCAGTGTTCCAGATTTTGGCCATTCTAATGGGTGTGTGGTGATAACTTATTGTTGTTTTAATTTATATTTTCCTGATGACCTATGATGTGGAGCATCTTTTCATAGGCTTATTTGCTATCTGTATATCTTCTTTGTTGGGGTGTCTGTTAAGGTATCTTTGGTCCGTATTTTAATTGGTTTGTTTCTTTTCTTATTATGGGGTTTTAAGAGTTCTTTGTAGTTTTCAGTAACAGTCTTTTATCATATGTGCCTTTTGCAAACATTTTTTTTCCAGTCTGTGGCTTATCTTTTTATTCTCTTGACAGTATTTATTGCAGAGCAGAACTTTTTAATTTTAATGAAGTCTAGGTTACCAATTCTTTCTTTCATGGATCTTGCCTTTGGTGTCACATCTAAAAAAGTCATTACCAAAACCAAGATCATCTAGATTTATTTTCTATGTTATCTTCTAGTAGTTTTATAGTTCTGCATTTTAAATTTGGGTCAGTGATTCATGTTGATTTTTGTAAAGGGTGTAAGGTCCGTGTCTAGATTCATTTTTTTTTAAAGATTTTATTTATTTATTTGACAGAGACACAGTGAAAGAGGGAACACAAGCAGGGGGAGCGGGAGAGGGAGAAGCAGGCTTCCTGCTGAGCAGGGAGCCCGATGCGGGGCTTGATCCCAGGACCCCGGGATCATGACCTGAGCCAAAGGCAGACGCTTAACAACTGAGCCACCCAGGTGCCCCTAGATTCATTTGTTTTACATGTTGGATGTCCAGTTGTTCCAGCACCATTTGAAAAGACTATCTTTGCTCCATTGTATCATCTTTATACCTTTGTCAGACACAAAAATAAATATTTACTTGGGTTTATTTCTGCGCTCTCTATTCTGTTTCATTGATCTATTTGTCTATTCTTTCACCAATACCACACTGTCTTGATTACTATAGCTCTATAATAAGTCTTGAAGTTGGGTAGTGTTAGCCCTCCAACTTTGTACTCCTTCAATGTTATGTTGGCTATTCTAGGTCTTTTGCTTCACCATATAAACCTCAGAATCAGTTTGTTAAGATTCTTTAGAATCAAGAAAATAACTTGCTAGGATTTTGGCAGGCAGCACATTGAATCTATAGATCAAGTTGGGAAGAACTGACATCTTGATAATATTAAGTCTTCTTATCCATGAACATGAACTATCCATCCATTTATTTGGTTTTTCTTTGATCACTACTACAATTTAACACTTAACTCGATACT